TTAATTGAAATCGACTTTCGTAAAGTCTTTCTCAAGGGAACGCTTGTTATGTCAAAGTGTGACATTTAAAGTGGTCCTGAGAATTGCATGAGCAGTGTACATGGTGTATTTGCAGGTTGTGTTGTGGCATGCAATGAGTGCATACCTGTTGATAATTGTCCCTTAAATACAGCGATTCAGACTGAGGGATTCCAAATTACATAGGTGTGCTATGTTGTGTACTATATATAATTCATGCGTGTAAAAGCGAACTTAATGCATTTTAAAAATTTACCACGTTTCACATTGATCTATCGACACGTACACACACTAATCCTCACAGACAAACTCTCCGAAATAGCTTTACCACCAAATCGTACAGTGGAATATAGCTGTGAGAAATGTGCTATCCTTTTCTGTAAAATTTCGATAATTTCATTGTAGTCACTCATGTTTATTCATTACAAAACAATCTACATATTAAATATAGGTTATTCTTGTTTCTCAGGAATAAATTTTGTTCCGTTATGACTTTCTTGTGTTTTTTTTATGTAATTAAGTGATGATATTTGAAATATAAGCTGCATGCACGAATATTCCTAAATAAATAAGAGACAACGGAACCGTAATTCGTACTTCGTTATCAGGTCAGGTGTACTGCGACACATTTATTGATACAGGTTTTTGTTACACGTTGATAGATACAAGTGTACTAATCCTCGTCTCCGTCAGTAGATACAGGTGTAATGTAACTTGTCAGTAGATACAGGTGTAATGTAACTTGTCAGTAGATACAGGTGTAATGTAACTTGTCAGTAGATACAGGTGTAATGTAACTTGTCTGTAGATACAGGTGTAATGTAACTTGTCAGTAGATACAGGTGTAATGTAACTTGTCTGTAGATACAGGTGTAATGTAACTTGTCTGTAGATACAGGTGTAATGTAACTTGTCAGTAGATACAGGTGTAATGTAACTTGTCAGTAGATACAGGTGTAATGTAACTTGTCAGTAGATACAAGTGTAATGTAACTTGTCAGTAGATACAGGTGTAATGTAACTAGTTAGTAGATACAGGTGTAATGTAACTTGTCAGTAGATACAGGTGTAATGTAACTTGTCAGTAGATACAGGTGTAATGTAACTTGTCAGTAGATACAGGTGCAATGTAACTTGTCAGTAGATACATGTGTAATGTAACTTGTCAGTAGATACAAATGTAATGTAACTTGTCTGTAGATATAGGTGTAATGTAACTTGTCTGTAAATACAGGTGTAATGTGACTTGTCAGTAGATAAGGTGTAATGTAACTTGTCAGTAGATACAGGTGTAATGTAACTTGTCAGTAGATACATGTGTAATGTAACTTGTCAGTAGATACAGGTGTAATGTAACTTGTCAGTAGATACAGGTGTAATGTAACTTGTCTGTAGATACAGGTGTAATGTAACTTGTTAGTAGATACAGGTGTAATGTAACTTGTCAGTAGATACAGGTGTATTGCAACTTGTCTTTAGATACAGGTGTAATGTAACTTGTCAGTAGATACATGTGTAATGTAGCCTGTCAGTTGATACAGGTGTAATGTAACTTGTCAGTAGATACAGGTATATGTAACTCGTCAGTAGATACAGGTGTAATGTAACTTGTTTTTAGATACAGGTGTAATGTAGCCTGTCAGTAGATACAGGTGTATTGTAACTTGTCTGTAGATACAGGTGTAATGTAACTTGTCAGTAGATACAGGTGTAATGTAACTTGTCAGTAGATACATGTGTAATGTAGCCTGTCAGTAGATACAGGTGTAATATAACTCGTCAGTAGATACAGGTGTAATGTAACTTGTCAGTAGATACAGGTGTATTGTAACTTGTCTATAGATACAGGTGTAATGTAACTTGCCAGTAGATACAGGTGTAATGTAACTTGTCTGTAGGTACAGGTGTAATGTAACTTGTCAGTAGATACATGTGTAATGTAGCCTGTCAGTAGATACAGGTGTAATGTAACTCGTCAGTAAATACAGGTGTAATGTAACTTGTTTTTAGATACAGGTGTAATATACCCTGTTAGTAGATACAGGTGTAATGTAACTTGTCTATAGATACAGGTGTAATGTAGCTTGTCAGTAGATACAGGTGTAATGTAACTCGTCAGTAGATACAGGTGTAATGTAACTTGTTTTTAGATACAGGTGTAATGTAGCCTTTATACAGGTGTAATGTAACTTGTCAGTAGATACAGGTGTAATGTAGCCTGTCAGTAGATACAGGTGTAATGTAACTTGTCTTTAGATACAGGTGTAATGTAGCCTATTACTAGATACAGGTGTAATGTAACTTGTCAGTAGATACAGGTGTATTGTAACTTGTCTGTAATACAGGTGTAATGTAACTTGCCAGTAGATACAGGTGTAATGTAACTTGTCTGTAGATACAGGTGTAATGTAACTTGTCAGTAGATACATGTGTAATGTAGCCTGTCAGTAGATACAGGTGTAATGTAACTCGTCAGTAAATACAGGTGTAATGTAACTTGTTTTTAGATACAGGTGTAATATAGCCTGTTAGTAGATACAGGTGTAATGTAACTTGTCTATAGATACAGGTGTAATGTAGCCTGTCAGTAGATACAGGTGTAATGTAACTTGTCAATAGATACAGGTGTAATGTAACTTGTTAGTAGATACAAGTGTCATAGAACTTGTCTTTAGATACAGGTGTAATGTAACTTGTCAGTAGATACAGGTGTAATTTAGCCTGTCAGTAGATACAGGTGTAATGTAGCACGTCTGTAGAAACAGGTGTAATGTAACTTGTCTGTAGATACAGGTGTAATGCAACTTGTCAGTAGATACAGGTGTAATTTAGCCTGTCAGTAGATACAGGTGTAATGTAGCACGTCTGTAGAAACAGGTGTAATGTAACTTGTTAGTAGATACAAGTTTGTTGTAACTTATTGACAGAAACGTTATATAAACCCTCTGTAGATACAGGTGTATTCTGACTCAACTCGTCTTTGTCTGCAGATACAGATGTTACGTCACTCGACTGTAAACAAAGGTGTGTTGTAACTCGCCTATATACAGAGGTGTACCGAAACTCATCTGTAAATAAGAGTGTACTATGACTCGGTTGTAGATACAGATGTACTTTTCCTCGTCAATCGATACAGGGTATGTATCGTGACTCATCTGTAGATACAGGTGAATCGTGACTCGTCTGTAGATACAGGGTGAATCGTGACTCGTCTGTAGTTACAGGGTAAATCGTGACTCGTCTGTAGATACAGGGTGAATCGTGACTCGTTTGTAGATACAGGGTGAATCGTGACTCGTCTGTAGATACAGGGTGAATTGTTACTCGTCTGTAGATACAGAGTGAATCGTGACTCGTCTGTTGATACAGGGTGAATTGTGACTCGTCTGTAGATACAGGGTGAATCGTGACTCGTTTGTAGATACAGGGTGAATTGTGACTCGTCTGTAGATACAGGGTGAATTGTGACTCGTTTGTAGATACAGAGTGAATCGTGACTCGTCTGTTGATACAGGGTGAATCGTGACTCGTTTGTAGATACAGGGTGAATTGTGACTCGTCTGTAGATACAGGGTGAATCGTGACTCGTTTGTAGATACAGGGTGAATTGTGACTCGTCTGTAGATACAGGGTGAATCGTGACTCGTTTGTAGATACAGGGTGAATTGTGACTCGTCTGTAGATACAGGGTGAATCGTGACTCGTCTGTAGATACAGAGTGAATCGTGACTCGTCTGTTGATACAGGGTGAATCGTGACTCGTTTGTAGATACAGGGTGAATTGTGACTCGTCTGTAGATACAGGGTGAATCGTGACTCGTTTGTAGATACAGGGTGAATTGTGACTCGTCTGTAGATACAGGGTGAATCGTGACTCGTTTGTAGATACAGGGTGAATTGTGACTCGTTTGTAGATACAGGGTGAATCGTGACTCGTCTGTTGATACAGGGTGAATCGTGACTCGTCTGTAGATACAGAGTGAATCGTGACTCGTCTGTTGATACAGGGTGAATCGTGACTCGTTTGTAGATACAGGGTGAATTGTGACTCGTCTGTAGATACAGGGTGAATCGTGACTCGTTTGTAGATACAGGGTGAATTGTGACTCGTCTGTAGATACAGGGTGAATCGCGACTCGTTTGTAGATACAGGGTGAATTGTGACTAGTCTGTAGAAAAAAGTGTACTGTAACTAATCAGTGTATACAGGAATATTGTAAATTCTTGTTAATAGATACTGGTGCAATGAAAGGCCAATAGTAGAGATGTGATCTTTGTGTACAGAAATACAAGTACACTGTAACTGGTCTTTTTATACACCTGGCTGTCCACGCGGTGATCCATCCACTAACAAAATCACCATATATACCTCATTTTCTATATTCCTGTGTCTTGTGATCTCCGCTGGATAAGAGAAACTTCATGTTTAACTGCATGGGCTTGAGACTGGGGATAAACGCTGTTAGACGTAAGGAATTAGTGCTTTATATGGTGTTAATAGACATGTTGTCATATACTTCACTGTAATGACAATGTGCAAAATCTGGGTTTTAATTTTTCGGTTGTATCAATGTACACCACAACAGTTACAATATACTTGTGTTAAGGGTCAGTTCCGACATTAATGAAAGTTTTCATTAAAAAAAGTTTCACAGCAAATTATGCTGTAATTACCTAGAGTAATACTTTACATCAAGGAAAGAAATCATAACAACATAATCTTCATTTTTTTATTATTAAAATCAATGATACAAATTAATCCTCATTCAAAGACTTGAATGAAAAAAATTAGTGTTTTGTTGTAGAAAAAAGCATGATATATACATGTATATGTACATGATGTAAATAACATGATATCTATAAAAAGTTAAGATTTATAATGACTAGCCCTACACTGATCAACCCCATTATTGTCATTATCAATTGAAGGATAACAAAATTCTATCTCTCAAAATCAAGACAAAAATTTACCAGTTTTTTTTTTTTTTGCAGCAAAATTAATTCCAAAACAATTGTAAAAATATATGGTACAGTAAAACTTGTATCCCAACAAAAAGTAAAAAAAAAGTTGACGGGACAAAAAAATGGCTTATTAGAAAAAAAAACTTTTCATTCAATAAATTATTTATTATAAATGTACTATGATTTCCGGGTAATTTCAAGGTAGATAACTCTAGAAGTAGTAATGGGCTATCACAATTTAGACTGCATGTAGACACGACTCCACAACACACTTTCTCAGCACTCTTATGATGATTTGTTATTTTCAGTAATAAACATTTATCACATACTCACTATATCAATACAATTTTAGTATGTAATATATCCCTCCCTCCTCAACAGAAACCTTTCAGAACAATCTGTAGTCTATTTCTTCTCAAACTCATTCACATGACAGGACCATACCAGAGTAAATAAGACACTGATTAAATTTATTAACGCTCCTATATCCACGTTTTAAGTTCTATGTAAATTATGCCCACTGAATGCCTAATCCTGATATTTACAGCAAAGCTTCCCCATGATGCAATGTAAAGCAGTGATACCAAAATGAGAATGTCTTTATTTTTAACTACAGAGCAATATGTAATCTCATATTCAATACATGTTCCAATAGTGTTGTTACTGATGGTATCAACTCTGTAAAATTATGAATATATTTAAGTGTCACATGTTCTTAATATCGCTGAACGAACTGGTATAAGAAAAGGTATCAACACGCCAAGAGCTTTATCTTTTAAAAGAAAAAGTTTTAATTCCTAATTCTTAAATCCATAAATTTATATACAAAAAAACATCTCTTTTTCATTCTAATTATTTCCCCCCGTGATATTCTATCTGATAATAATCTTCCCATTAATTCTTAATCTTGAATTGTGAGAATAGATAATCTTGATATTTCCTCTCTGAAACTGTCCTATTTCAAATAAAATATCTAATGATGAAATGATAAATGAACGATGGAGTTATTGCTTTGAGCTATGATTTTACAAAAATATATACATACATTTTACCTATTTACAATATATACAACTTTTTACAATTGGATTAGACATATTGCAATCAAGATACAAAATATCACATTTGCATAGAAAATTTGTATCCTAGTTTAAAATATACTCGATACATGTACCATTCTCTCACATGCATGCACACACACTCTCTTCTTTTAACATCCACTATGATTTAGGATTAAGTGTTGACAGAATGCATGTTTTGTACACAAAAAGTTCTCTTATGAATTTGTATAATTTGCATTTCCATCCTTACATTTAACAAGCTTTCAGTTATTTGTGTAACATCAAACTTCTGATATATTTTGAAAGTATTTCTAAAAGATAGTTTGGATTTTGGTAATCATTTAAAAAGAGAACTCTACATGAAAAGAAAAAGCACTTCTGATGAAAATACCATAAAGATACATATTTCAGTGTAAAGAAGATCTGTTTTCAGTATGGCACTTTTACATGGACTCATTTTGTAGTGCTGTAGAAATGTTCCTGAATTGAAAGAAGCCTGTAGTATTGTCGAATCAGCATCTACCGTCGCTTTAGGAAGAAGAAGGCGAGTACAGATCCTGTAACTAAGGCCCAGTTGGCAACAATGGAAGCAGCACCAGCTATACGACACTTCAGAGTCCCGAACCTAAAATACAGAAACAATGATTTATAATGGCCATGATCCTGTTAAGTTTGAGAACGATACACTGCATTCAAGAATAATTGTTGACTTTGAATGGTTTTATGCTGAATATCATCACAAGTGTGACAGAATGTCAATTTTTAAAACAAATGGCAGGTGCTTTCATCTGTTCATACGCTACAGTATGATTATCTACTGAAATACAATACATGTTTAAGCGAGGGGAAAAAATGGTATCTTCTAGTACAAAATTTGAAGTTGTTCAATTAACCACAGCATAATTTTAAAATCACCCTATTATTCATACAAAGCTTCTGAAATCATACCAAATAGGTAGAGACTTACTGGTATGTAATGGCCTACACACTAACAACACTAAGTATAACATGACCCTAATCAACCTTGACACAAAAATATTTACTTCCCAGATATTCTAAAGGAGAACAATATATCTCACTGTGAAAGTTCTACATTGATGGCATTATAATCATTACATCAATTACAGCCATTTATATATTTTTATCACAACTTCCATGTTTTAGCATTTCTACCCCCCAAAATAATTACCTGTTCGGTTTTCCTGCCAATTTCTTTGAATACTCTTCCTCCATAGTTTGACCATCATAGAACCAGGCAAGGTCATTAAATGGATATTCGTATCCTTGACGACATTCACATTTGTAGGAACCAGTTTGGAATCTTTTCCCAGGAAGGGGAATACACTACAATGATTTTTGCGAAAAAGAATATATTATACATTTCAAATTCTAAAAATATACAATTCATCCAAATTGCACACAAAATTTTACATTTTTTTGTTTTCCTCTGGACTTTTTATCACAATGAATAGGCATTTTTAAAAATGAATCAGAATATTCACAGCCAAATCCACCAAACAAGCCTTTGTTAAAAAAAAAAAAAAAACAAGAAACATTAAAACAAACCAACAACAAACCTTTCAATGCTTATTCAATCTCAATGAAAGTTTATGTTCAAAACACTTTTTTGTCCCAAGTATGAAAACACCTCCACCTCAAAAGCTTAGTGATGAGCGCTCCGGCATTCATCTTTGCCACCAGAGAATACTCACAAGCAATGTAAGGTGAGTATTCCGCCAGTGCCAAGGACGACTGACCAGAAATCTGTTTCAGATGACATCCTGACAAGACTCCATCGACTTGTAAATGAATGCCTTTATACCACGATGAATAAGTATGTCCCAGTTCAAAGTTAACCCAATACCAAACCATTATCATCACTGAAACCAGCAAGCTTTGTGATTCTCTACTTCACACCAAGACAAAAAAACATATCCGAGTTAAAAGTTAACCCGAGATCAGACCACTTTAATCACTGAAACCAGTAAGGTATGCAGTACTAAATGTATGACTGAATTTAAGTCAATGACAACTGCCTTCAAGGAAACCAAGAGACATTGACCATGTATGTTCATTTGTTTCCTCCTGCCAATCAGATCCTTTCACCAGATCAAGACACTCTTTCACCAACAAATCACAGCAAAATGATACTTGATATCAAACAATCCTTTTCAGGGTAAACAGCTATATATAGCATTCAATATTATAAACCAACAGGCTGGAAGGTGTGGACAAGCATCAGATAAACACAAAAATCTAACCACACTGAAATTTATAACCACACTTAAACTTACAAATCAAGACATTCCATGATAAAGCATAAGAAATAATGAAACACAAATAAAAATTATGAAAAGGATATGTTGTCCATATCAGAGAGAATGATTTTCTTTTTGTTTTATATTTTACTTACGTAAGTTGATTTGAAGTCGCACTTGGCTGTATTTTTGAAAGCGTTGGCTACATAGAAGTCCTGTGGACACTGATTTATGTCTAGATAATCCAACTTGACATCAACTTTAACTACTCCTCTGCAAAATTAAATTTACAATTAGTATTTTTTACAGTATATGATTTATTAAAAAGTCACTTATTTATTTTATTATATCCCATCTATCTGTAGAGAGTCTATCCATTTACACTGGACCTCTAACAAATCCTTCAAAGTTTTCTTTCGTACATAAGATATGAAATGTGCTACATAAGAACTAACATTCCCTTGACATTCATTCTACTCGACACCCATCTTAAGTGCGATTTTACAAAATTCTACAATGAAAAGCAGTACACGAGTTGAAAGTTTTTTTACCATTATTAGCAAAGATTTACTTTTGATTATTTGAAATTGTCTGACATGATTTGCTCATCAAATATTCAATAAATTCAAAGATATTGTAACAATGCTTTTTTCATTAACATCAAAAGTTATTTCATTTTGACAATTCAAATTCTTACTTGAATTCAAGCATGGTTTTCAATTCATTAAATCCAAAGAAAGGAACCACGTAAGTAACCACCCAGTCCATGATGCGGTCATCACACTTGAACTCAGGCCTCAGCCATTCACCATGTTCATACTTTGGAGCATAGTACTGGATGGGATAGTACTCAAATCTGACCAGACTAGTACCATTCACATCTGACCTCACCATGGGTTTGGCTGTGTACTTGACAAGACTATGGAAATTGGTCTGCCATCTTGCCTTTACAGTTCTGTACCAGACCTCGTCTGTGTAGAAGTTAGAGTATCCAGCAGAGTCTACAGCAAAAAACTCATCTAAACCATCACCAGTCTTGGTTTGCTTCCTCCATGAGTATGGGCCAAAGAACTCTCTCACTATTCCATTGTTGTATCGTGGATCAGTATTATTTATTGGTGGAGACATGCGGAATTTGTAGCGCTCAAAGAAAACACCACTGCCAAGGATTCTGAAGTCTGCCATGACATTGGCAAGAACTTCTCCAAACAAATGTGTTTCATTCAGACGTCGGTCACCAGTCATACTACCAAAATTCTCGTACTCATCGACATTCTGCAAGAAGTCCGACAGGAAGTGTGCTAAACGAACTGCTGTACGTCCTTGTGCCTCAAATTGTTTCTCAACACCATAGGCAACATCTCCTGGGAGGAAAAGTTCATGTGGCATTTTGGTTTTACAGTTTGCAGCATTAGTTTGAGCTTTTCTTAACAAAATCTTGTCCATTTTAACTCTCTTTTCCGCATCAAACAGATCCCGTTTATTCCTAATTTTTTTACTTTGTCCATCATATCTCGGAACATGTCGACGATTTCTGAGTTTTTCTTTCATCTTATCCTTTGGAACAGATCTTCTGGCTACTAATTTTGCTCTAGGACTCTGACCCGATGTAATGATCTTAAATAAGGTGGATTTCTTAGTTATTAGTGTTGATCTCTTTCTTCTCCTTTGCACAAATGTGGGCATTTCATTCGGAATCACCTGAAGCTCTGTAATTAAGACAAAATGGTCCTTTTAGTGTGTAACTCTCTCTGAATATTGTCATTATTAGTTGTAACAGATGAATTTAGAAACTTAAAATATTAACACAGAATGAAACTCAAAATTGTACCTTTTCGAATGTAGAAGCAGTTTCATCATATCATTGTAATCTGCATCACAAAGTCAGATAAAAAATGTCTTCCAACAAGAATGTCCTTACCAATTCAATTATTTACATTTTATTATAAACACTAATTGGTAACCTCCCAAGGACAGACATGGTAACTGCTTATCACTATGTACCCCCAGAGCATGACAGGGATTAACATTAAAAGGAATTTGTAATCGGACTATGTTAACTATAAAGATCTTTATAAGATTCTTAAATTTCTTCACTAATTTTTGTATTTAAGACAAAAAAATCACAACCATTCCAGTTATAACAAGTTGACAGTATCAATGCTATTTCTTATTAAAACTAAACAGCAATATTTTTTTACCTTCCACAGGTAGGCAATCAAAGTTATTCATGTATTCATCTTCTGTCGCGATCTCAATCTCGTCTCCCAGGAAAGGCCCACCATGCCACCAGGGAAAGTAGTAGCCAGGTCGACACACACACTGGTAGCCACCCCGTCGGAATCCATAACCATTCAACGGCTCACACTGAAATAGAAAATGGTTGTTTTGATATACAAGTAAAAATGTGGCATACAATGATAAAATTGTACTTGTCACAACTGAAACATTACAACATAACATTAGTGTTAAGTTTTTCCAATTTAAATGTCTTTTTTTAAACATTCTTAAACAGTGAACGAATACATTAAATACCTAATCTATCTTCTTGGCTTGAAACAAGTCTTGTAATAATTTATAATATGTACTGGTTAGAAATATGTTTAATCATGTCTGTTTCTAAACTTTCAGTGAAAAATCAGGATTATGTACATGAGTAGACTGATTTTTTTAAAATCTAAATTGATTACCTCTCTCTTGATCTGCCCAGATATAGCAAGATATATATGGATGTCATGTGACCATATATAGGAATTCAGATAATATCTTTAGTGAAATTACAAAATATAGCAATGTAGTACTGCAACATATTTTATGTAAAAGGAACTGAGGATGAAGCGATGGAAATTGCTCTACATGCCTTGACCAGCAACTTCTTGATCCAAGAGTGTTCTACCTATACCAGGGTTCTGTAAATTTTGTGTCAACATATTGCATGTTCAATGTTAACTTATTTATTCATGGAACAATTCAGAACACTTGATCGGACAAAAACATACTGATGAGTCATGTTTAATTCGGTCTCACGATGTTAATGTTATTTCATCATACATAGCTAGCATGTTATTTTCCACAATATAACTGTACTCCTGAGTATTTTTACTAGCCTTACACAAGATTGCATATTAAGGAAGTGTCAGGATGAAGCAAATTCCATTTCTTAAAAGACGGGAATCATAAACAGCCACACCCTTGTTCCGGATATAAACGCATGTTTTAAAGACTTGTCGTTGGATAATAGTATTTACAAATTAAATACACGTATCTTTATTCGCCAGCAAATCGTCATTATGTGTCACTTTATGTTAATACACAAGATTTAGAAATATGTAATGCCTAACATTGTACTAGAGAAACCAGTGCTCACGGTGAACATCCTGTTCTTCCTCTCATCTCAAGCCTCTGCCAATATAGGCTTGTCGAAGAGTTTACACGCACTGTCGGTATAATTTAGCATTAGCAAACAAAAGAAACATCTAAATTTTGGTCTTAAAACGATTCAAGGCAATGTTTCATGACAACACACGTTTTCCACGATGTTCATCTCACCTTCTGTCCAAACTATATGACCACGCTGCATTTGGCGGGTGTTCAGCGTCGTCACGAATAATATGATCGTGGTCACCTAAACGTTTACTCAGCTAGGCACTTCTATTGGGGCCCAAAACAGGGGAATCATGCGGATTGTCTCTATCATATCCCTTTCATACACCATTACCTTTTTATCCCACTTAAACTAATAGGGTACTGATGCGGTTTACTAGACAATTTAAATTCACAATTTAAGTTGTCGCTATTCATATTTCACTCACATCTTAACTTGCATTTGATCAAATCAATATTGGTTCATTCAGATAAATGCAAAGCTAATATTGATGCGTCAAAGTATAGTAAAACAAGTACGACATTAATTCTGTCAAAGGACATAGGACACGGTTATATCATGATTTTTTTTTCTAGAACACAAATAAAACGTTTCATAGAATTGTTTAGAAAGGAAAGCGAGTGCTCATAAATGAAATCAAGAATAAAAATTTCTAGTAAATTGTTAAAACTGAGACTGTCAGACCCATACAAGAATTAGGCGCAAATATGTCTCGCTTCGTTGGTTAGATTATTATTTTTCTGCGAAAAATGTAAAACAAACAAAAATTCATAAAACCCACCTGCAAAATAAATGTCCCTCAGTCTAATCAATAACCAAAGATATGCTGTTGTCATGATTCAATCATTATATATCAATTTTTTTTCTAATATAAATTCTTCAATTATCAAAATTCACCATATTTACCCCAAAAATACCTCTCTTGCCAAGGAGAGAAAGGAAAGCCTGTCTGATGATATTTCATATTACTTGTTACAATATGAATATAAACTAAATCTAATATAGAATAAAAAGGAAGCTAGAAAGATTTTGCTATTTCTCATATCCTTATCTTTTTTTTATGAATAAATATATCAACTAATATAATTTACTTGACAAGTTCAGATGTATTATTGAAGTTTACACGTCTATTCTACAATGTCACTATGTTTACTTAATAAGAAACTGAGTTAAACTCAAAATCAAAATCCTAGCATTCCTAATTTTCAGAGTCGTTGGACCGTGAAGTAACGTATTTTATTATAAGGGATGAGTTTGTTGAGGTGCCCACTCAAATCTAACAAAAAAAAAACCGGATCTAAACCCAAAACGTTAAAGTGAAATACTGACAAAGACGCCCGAGATGAAACGCATTAGTCTCGCTTCCACGTCTTTTTTCGCGGGCGAGACAAGAATCAATATTAACGTAACATGCGCACATAGCTGAAAACATTCAAAATCCGGTACAGGTGAGATATTTCGACACAGAAACTGTCTCACAATTAATTTTCCTTATGGTTTTCAGACACACTTAAAATATTGTTCCATAACATTCACACCAGGCGCCGACATCTTTATCAGTATAATAAAACCAACACACACATTTTAAAAGTTCTGGATACGCTAGTAGCAGGGAGCTGTATTTCGATCGTAACGCCACAACTTCATTCCGTTACTGAGAATATGGACACGAGCAGCGATGCATCAAGTGCATATACGGGTAAAGAAAAATGAACCATAATCCGATGACTTTTGCTTGGACGTGACAACTCACCAGTTAATAAAAGATCCATCTCACGTGATACATTGTATCATAAGGAAATGAATCTCCATACCACCACCGCCCAAAACGTACATTTCTGTAGCGAATACCTGTTCTGTGTTGACAGAACGTGCCCGTCAGGCCGACCAAGCAGCATGATATTGATATATAAATTAAACCCTAATGGTGTTGGTAATGGTCAACCGCGGTTGTTACGCATACGTAGTTGCCATGGCAATAACAATTTTCCTCCATACATTTAGATAAACACACCGATATGATATCGAAGAATGATGGTGGTTTCCATAATGACTTTCTATAAACACAATCCTAAACACAATATATACTGTTACTGCAACAGTTCATGTCTTTGTTGACCCACTGTATCACAAAGGTACACGCGTTCATCAGGAATTAATTCCGGATAATCCTAATATTTGTAGAAGTTGTGTGTACTGTTACGTCTGATATTAACTTGTAATGAAGCCGTTGGGCACCGCTGTATTTATTAGTTTTCGCTTTGTCTTCAGTTCATTAATTATAGATTTGTGACTATACGACGATAATTTACGGTCTATTCTGGTTGGACAATGCCTTGCCTGCCACGCACGGCCGTGGTGCGACCAGTCGAACACTTGGTCGATAATACAGTGGTCTCTCATTCATCATAAACCCCGAGGTCGTCTGCCATACTGTATCGGCACGGAATAGGTTGTTGATAGTAATCAACATAGCCCATAAACCTCATGCAACACTATGGCAACCAACATACCTCGGCAACACGCTAACACCAGTCCATGTCCTGATTGACATACATATATTAATGATGAAATCTCGAATGGTTATTGGACGCTTTTTTTCGTATATCCACTATATCATAAGTTGAAAAGGTAGCCCAGTATATATGATCTAATTTTCAAATTTCAAATTAAGATTATTAGATCTGGCGAAACCAACTCATCCTTGTGTGCGTGGGGGACATCATCAAGATGGTGGCGACGAAGCAAAGTGTAAAGCACCGTCATCGGAAGAAGTTATTATCTTTATTTCCTCCAAATATGAAGATTTGCAAAGACAACTATATAAACAGTAATAAATTACATAAATTTACACGCGTAAAAATATCACAATGGACGCCATACCTTTACGATGTTATACATTTATAATCAGTTTGTGTCTTTCGGTAAAGGAGCTGTTTCTATGCAAATTCAAAATATTGAGTGTCCCCTCCGTTGAATATTCAACATGTACATGACTCGGTACAATTTCATCATTAATCTTCATATAATTATAACACACGTTATTTGGAATTTTAGTTATGTCAGTCGCCCTATTTGTCGTCGTGAACAATAAGTTTATATACTTGCCTATCTTTGTTAATCAAACTCGATACTAACAGTGTAACGATTCCGATGTTAAGATAAATGCATTCGATGACAGTACTCAGCTGTTTTTTTCTTACACGACGTCATATTGATATGTCCCATTCGGACAATTTACACGACAGAGTTATTGAGCAAAGCACTACAAAGTTATATAAATAACATTCATATCTCACAGAGTTACTTCCCTTCGTTTCAACCCATCAACTGTTATGGCGATATCAATAAGTTCGACAGCTTTGTATCGATAATGTTATACGATATGATGAAGTCCAACCAATGACAATATTGACCAAGTTGAAACACAGGGGCATGTTACAATGATTCTGGGAGCGTGGACTTGTGTAGAATATCTAGGGGAGTATTATTGTACATGCTCCTTTGCCGAATGCAGGGATGTCGATACATAACGTAACGCACTTCTTGTATTGTATGTGTCAATTCAATGGACAATTTCAGTCCATACGTTAATATGTCATTGAGCCGCCAGAGACCGCATGTCTCCGGTACGTTAGCGTGTTATTGGTTAGAGAACAACTAATCCGCAGGGTGATTTTATGCAATCATACTAAAGTAACGTAGATCAAATAATTGATTATGACTGCATAGCAATTAAGGCAGTAAAATACAACAGGATTTTTAAAAATAAACAATGCGGTTCCCACTTACCTGAAAACCGACAAAAATGAAAAACACCCGCCGGAAGCAAGTTATTCAACCGATGATGTTATGGAGATATAATTTAACATTAACTGGCAGAGCTTTCCTACTTATTTTGTGGATTTTTTTAATGGTGGTCCCTATATTGCATTTCCTGATTGTCTCAACATACACAAGTATTTTTCACCGTTGTCCAAACAGGTCTACGTTGTCAGCTGTCCTAGTTAGCCATACGATCTACGATCTTAAGATTTTCCTCTACATGTCCTTTTGGAATAGTTGTTTTAAAAACTGTTAATCGAACAGGTAAAATACTCTATGAATTTCCCAAACCTACACAATATAAACTTTCTCTTTTTCGTCATTTTATCGATTCCTAAATATCAAGTATCTTACTTCAGTTTGTTGGTTTTATTTGACTCGTAACGAACATGTGTAAGACTTCATGAATTTACCGATTCCTATATATAAGTAGTTTAACTCTGTTCACGTTTACTAAACTCATAACGTACCACATTTCATTCATCTCTTGTAGCTTCCAATTTAGTTACTTTCAAGATTACTGACGCCGTCAAACGACATCATATTTCACAAGTAATTTTACCGATACCACACTTAAGTATCAAGTACTTAAGTATTTAAGCCCAAGTACTCTATCTGTAGTAACTTACAAAAACCATTTCTTAATGTAAAACCATCCATATTTAAAGTGTTTGCTATTGGATAACAACAACGTTGTGGCCGTGAGTATGTACAAGCCATAAAAAAACTAGACAGAGACTTCATTGTACCTGCTGTCTACATTGCGTGATCGTAAGAGGCGGTTAATCTTGGAATCTTTAAAGTATACTTTCCTATTTCTAATGACATTTTCCTTTTTAATCTCTCTCATGACACTATTTCACATTTGCCCTTTCTCATGAATGTCCGTCCTGGTGAATAAGGCTATGCGTTATCCTCCCAAGCCGTGACATGCCAAAACGAAAATGGTACTTCGCACTTTTTGCTTGAAGATCACCTTTGAGCGGTTACATATCACAAAACCAATACTGATATATATGAAAAACGAATACAGCTCGTTGATAGCGTGAAAACTAGTATACATGTAGTGTCACCATTAAAAAAGTGTATGATGGTGACATTGTTGTAATGTTTTTTGCCAAAATAGATCATGTACTCGTTGTACCTCAGGTGATATAGAGGACGAATTTCACTTTATCCTAAAATGTCCTTTTTACCAAAATCTGAGACGTAAATAAATCAAACAATTCTGTTACAGAAGTCCAAATGTTTTTAAGTTTACGATATTACTGAGCACCAATAATGTAAAAGAATTATGTAATTTTGGGAAATATTTATATCAGGCCTCAAGGAAACGCATAGAATTTAGTGATTGATAGAGCTAATTGTACACTACAGTATCATTGTAAGCTTACTCTCCATTTAACCTAATTTGTATAACATTCTTTCATATTTGTACCACATTATGTAATTATGTCTATATTATTTAACCTATGAGTCGGATGGCTCACGGAAAAATAAAATGATTGAATGAATGAGCTAGTACAATCAGAAGTTTAATTGGATTTGTGACGTCCTAGTAATACAATAGGAATAATGTCATGTGACCAAAAATGAACGGGAACAGTAGTCATACAATTGGTCTCGACTCTAACATAGTGCAGTAAACTTTTGTTCGTAAACATAACTAATGGAATGAAATATTGCTGACAAATGTGTTGGAGTGCACGTGGTGGAAATGTTTAGCCAAGGTAGTCGCTATATTATTTAACATATACTGTTTCCCCCTGCAAGGGGATATTATGCATGCACATGCTCCCTTCTCTGTCGTCAAAGGTGGTACTATAATGAGGGACAAGGAATGCTTACCATGGTGGTAGGTTTACACCTAGCGGTATCTTTGAAGTAGTTAGGGTCGGGATTTCCTTCACTCTTGGGGCAGGGGTTGAAGTCGATCCTCTCAAACTCTATATCCTGGGTCACCACCGCCACAAACCTGCAAGACAAGGTGTCAGAATAATGTATACCACAACATTTATGTTTATAAAACGACATTGCCTTACAAAAATAAGTGTCAGGACAAAACTTCGGAGGGTAACAGGCAGATATTAACTAGTACTTCAGTAATAAATGCGGGGCTTAGATATAAGTTTGTTTTTCGGTTTGTACTTATGACTTTACTCTTGGATCAGAACTTTGATTTAGAGAAAATATCTCAAATAAAATTGGACAAATTTTGACGAATTCTGACAAAAAAATCAGTAGATATGGAATCTTTACACGTGTTTGAAGTAGATATCTGATACTAGTAAATTTACCTAGGTCTTCGGAGATGGGTCCAGTTGGAGTATCTAGGCATATATTCGACTACTGGTGAATGAGCGCTGACGATCCACCTGTTGGATCGGCCACAGTCGAAGTACGGCATGGTCCATTCGACCGGGAGGGACACATCTCTGTCTGATTGTCCGGGTTGGGGAGGCCCGAAAAAATCGATTCCCTCGAACTCCTTATGAGTAAATTGTTTTGTGGCGTTGGAAAACTTCACGTTCACAAAATAGGTAAACTTCCGGAGAGAGTCTTGACTCTTGTCGTTATCCGGGAGCCATGCAGAGTACCATGGGGCGGCTTTGTAAGCATCACTTGTGTAATTTTTCATCGTTCCAGCTCCATAGTCATGAATGTCCACAGTATTGTTAGTAGGCTCTCGTAACCAATTCGTCGGTTCATTATAATCATCCGTTCTCCACGCGCGAGGTCCAAACAGGGGAAGTGTTTTGTTGAATTCCACGCCATTGTAGAGGTACCATTGAGGGTAATTACAATGATTGTCAAAGTACATAGCAGAACCGTTTATAAACCCTTGACTTCCAGTTACATCGGCGGTGGCGGCCATATAGAGATACTGAAGACCTGGCTGGTTCATAAAATCCTCTGATCTGTTCTGTCTTTGGTATATGAAACTGTAGAAAAAGGCTCGATTGAGAGCCATGTTGTGCAGGTGTAGTAGTTGGGATCTATTTGAATATATTACGGTACTCAGTAACATATTGTACCGTGGTAACTGTGAAACAGTTTCCATGGGAAGCCGGAGCTTCTCTTTGGGTTTAGACCTACAGTTATCGGCAGTAACAGAGGACATTCTGTCCATAATTTCATCGAATCGGTCCTCTGCCAACCAGTGGAAAACGCCCGATTGTGAGACACTTCCGCACCATGACGCGTAAAGAGTCAGAGTTAGTCCAACGAATATGATATGCATATACAAACCCATTGTAGAAGTTCGATCGGTTTTCTCAAGCCTATGATCCCATCTCCTTCCCCTAACTTATCTTCTTAAAATTAACAAAGGGTAATGTGTTGTCGCTTCGAGTTGAATCAAAATGGCGTCCTAAATTAGATCACCTATTCAAATAAGGTAAACGACGCTTTCATCTACTGCGCATGCCTCAGGTGTGATTCAGGTGTGTATACAATTGTGACCGAGGCATTCGAAGGGGTGACAGGTAAGCAGATGTAAAATGACTTGGTGGTAGCGTCAAACAAAACAACACACAAGACTAACACCTGTTGTTCATATATCATTCAAATTAAAGATGGTAGATTCTGTTGTTCGTTTGTAACTCAATTCTCCTGAAATAAAATTGATTTTGATTTTGTAAATATAATGTTATCTGCGGCCGGTCTCCTTAAGAGGGCCTCGATCATTGTATTAACTCCGGATCCTATGTAAACAAGGAAATGAAATATATCATCTATAACAAATGTTTTATATAATTTTCTTAATAGATGCATTAAAATAAAAGTTAAACTATTTAAGTATTTATTTCATTTATCCCGAAGTTTAGTAATTTTGTTTACCTGTGGAAGTGATGACTCAATTATTTGCCGCGTGACCCAAATATTCAGGTAAATATGCGCGTTTTCCACCAGGTGGCGAAGTTAATTACATCTGGATATTGTGGGGCCCATTGAAGGGGTAATCGAATAACCGAAATCCTATTCGTCAAATCTTTGCAATCTACATGTCTTCATTAGGTTAAGTTCGGTTTTGATTATTTATAGTGTAATTGTTGAAACAACACAATATACCAGAAGCTACATTACAACATCAGAGTAATAGTTTTGTCTCAACTACTATATAAAGTATTTTCATGTTAGATATACCTGGGAAGATTGAGTCCCTCTGACTCTGATACAGTCAAAATTGAATAACCTCGTACACCCTTTTCACGTTTTTGACATTTTCTTTATATTCTCGACGTTTGCATTTACATTTCGAAAAACGCCGAAATAACACTTAGCAATGTTTCTCTCATCCTATTTACTCAAAACTGTTCAATCAAACGTAACCAACACTCTCGAAATTACTTTCAAATTACACTTTTTTTGCATACTTTTAATTGTTGAAGCCGTCGATATTTATGAAAAAAATCAGATGACCATCATGCGGAAGGCCTGCCGCGTACTATCCACAGTAACCAAGTTAAAGGCTACACTCAGGAAGCTAACATTACGGACAATCTTGTGGTGTCGTAGTTGTGTCCTTAGGCAAGCCAATTAACAACCGGTTTGTTTATCTCAATTCTTCATCAGACACTATTAGAATGGTAAAACATCCTATATATCTTTCACATATTGTGACATTTCGAAAACGTTTGATCGTGTGTGGCACAAGGGCCTGGAGGTGAAACTAACAAACCATGGTGTAAGTGGGAAACTTTAAAATTTTGTTTGTTAAGAAAATAGCAAGTATTGGTAGATGATACTAAACATTCTCTTCAAACTTTTAATCACGGCCTGTGTTCGTCAAGGTTTTGTCATAGGTCCTGTATTATTTACATTATGTATCAGTGACATACAAGTATCTCATAATTTACCGAGCCTCTCAAAACTACTTGCAGATGACACATATTTATTATATTTTTATCCATCTTCTTACACTTAGAACAGATTCAAAATTATTATCCATTCTTGGCACTCATCAGATGTCACGGCTTATCGAAATACCATACTGTACTGACAGAGTGAAACTAAGGGCAGTAACTCTAAGAGATCAGAATGCTTGTAATTATGAATTCGGCCATGCGGTACTTATGAAGGTAAAATGTGTAGGCACATGAGAGTTCAAGTGGACAGAAGTTGCTAATGAGTAAATCATCATATAGAGTATTCAAACTTTATGTCGTTCCATTGTTGTTGTCAGGTATGAGATGGGCTCAGTGGATGGGAACCACTTTTGATCTAGGAGACACTTCTTTACCTAACAGTTCACCAATTTAACCTTCGGCATGCCAACAGTTATCCAATACCTAATTACCGTTTGCGACTCATAGGTAAGTCCTTCTTTCCCTCTACAGAGTATGGACAGAGTAAGGAACGGGTCTAGCACACGAAATCAAGATTTATTTCATGCTAATTCGATTAATTATAGACATCCTGTTGAAGATATATCCCCCCTCCCCTGTAACAATTACACTGACCAAAGTTTTAACTGACGAGATAAATGATTTCATACCGTTGAACCTGTAATCCAATCCACCCTTCAGTTTATTACAAATACTGATTGATTACTTTCTCTCTTCAGTTCCACATATGTTTCTCTCTTCTATCATACTAAGACTGACAGTTAATATATTAAATTACAAGTAATGTATACATTGAAAAAAAAAATCTGAATTCTGGGTTTTTTTTCCTGGTTCGGGCGGTAATTGTGTGTGATATGTGTTATACCAGGATGGATTTCATGACACTGGATGTGATAGATTTTGATAACTTGAAATGTTATGAATAGTGGTTAGTTTCAACAATGGTGATTGTGACTTGATTCGGGGTAGACAATATGAAATTCATATACTTTTTGGTTAACTTAAAAGTTTTGATATTTGTAACTGTAATACCCCTCCCCTTCTCTCTCTCTCTACACACACACACACACACACACACACACACACACACACACACATATATATATATATATATATATATATATATATGTAGAGAGAGAAAGGGAGGGGTATTACAGTATATGTGTGTGTATGCTGTATTTTATTTAAACAGTCCATCTTGTTTTATTTATATTGTAAAATATTGACGAGAAAGGGGCTTATTGAGATTCGATATCTTGTTGGTGATCCTAATAGTATATCAGATGTCACATTAGTTTTCACATTGTCAGCCCCCAAAGTCTGTTCAGCTTACCACTGTACCTACTCTGTACTGACAGAATGAAACGAATGACAGTAAATCTGGGAGATCAACACGTGGTTTGGGGACAAATGCTGTTATTTTTAACAGTTATAGAATAATTAACCACGATAGACTTCCTGAGTTTCGGGTCGAGCAGAATTAATTGTTTGCATCGTCAAATTGTAAAAATTCGGCGATGATTTTGAAAATTGAAATAAAAATTAGATCAAATAAGATGATACCTGTATTACCATCAGACATATTGACTACATCAGTGATTACCTTCGTAAACACCCAAGGGATATTTTACTTTTCGACAATATAATTATTTGAGATCACATGCATTGTTTTTGTATATGCTTCGTGTTGCCTAGATTCATGCCAAGCTCCTATAACAGAAATCAACCAAATACATATGCACTTTTTATTGCACGTGCTTTGCATTTAAAACGAAGGTGGGTGCGTGTTGTTCAGGGTCACGTGACACCATACAAACCAGTCGATAAAATTGACTTTCGTCCAGTTTTGACGTGCTGTTCGGTCGATCGGAACAAAGTAGATAGAGAGGCAATGCCTGTCTCTGCCTTGAACTGTCACTTCTACGTAAGTACTACTGGGATGTTACTAAAATACAGAGGTTATTTATACATAGATATATAACATAAGACATATGATTATTATTTTAACTCAAAGTGAAATCAAAAGTTAAACCAGCATCTTCCAGTCACCTCCTAGGTCCCAACGTTATACAGACCGTTAGCACTTACGTGAGTTGTAGAAGGACGAAACGTCTATATGGTACAGTTTGTAAGGAATATTGACACTTTTTAGTATTAACAAATATACGTTTTTAGTGGTAAAATATCATGTGGTATGATGTCATGACTCCATTCTGAATTATTTGAATACTGATAAGACAATCACTGTCGTTTTATTACATCGGATCTTTCTTCTTCAGTAATACTGTGGAGATTTCACAAGTAACGTCATTTTGATTAATATCATACATGTCCAGTACCATCTTCCTCTCGAACCCTACACTATAGCTATAAAGACACGTTATATGTGATAACTATATTGAGCTCTATTTCCAAAATTTGTAGATTTTTTTTAATATGAAAAATTCAATAGTGATGTAGGCAACGGCAAACCTACAATAAAATGTTTGTTTTTTGTAAAAAAAAAATACAACAAAAACAGATACGTTTACGTGTGGTTTCAAGTGGCCAAATTGACCGTAAATTGCAACACTGTTAAAATAGAAGCAGCAAGGGTCAGTATACACCTGTAATAAGTTCTCAGGCCCCTGTGTTTTGGACAAGGTAAATGGCGATCTGGAACTAATTAAGATTATCTAGAAATTAACAAATCGGCGTACCGACTAAATAGGGAAAGGCTCTTGTTATCCAATTCTTTAATAAAGTTAACAGAGAGAAACTCGGAACAACTACAGACTGACCAGCCCAACGTTAATGACATAAAAAAACTGCAACGACTTACAGAGATGAAATATTTAAACACAATTTAAACACAAGGATGACAGCGAGTGGCTTGTTTTACACCAAAACTTTTTCAGACCTGACGGAACACAGTTCATGTTTCTCGCTGGGGACGTTTGATGTAGATGTTGTGAACAGCGTATCTAGACTTTGACAAACTTTCCCCTGTCGGTTCCTGATACCTAAACTGGACAAACATAGTATGGAGGAGAAATTATCAGCTGGATTAAAGAAATTATTCAATGTCAAACAGTTACCTGTTAGTAGTGAACTCTCTAGGCCCTGTCATCGCTCTCTAACTGTTCCTGATATTTTTGAATGATGTATTATGTGTAAAATAGCACCACAAAAAGCTCTGTGAAGCTTGACGTGTTGGCTAGAATCTCAACAGAACATAATAAAAAATATGTAAAAATCGTCGACAATAGAATATGTGCATATAAATATATCAACATGACAAATGAATATAACCGGAAAAAGCTGTATTTCTGTTTTCGAATACTGTAAATTTGATAAAAGTACAAACTGACATTTGCAGTTTTTTTTCTTTTGCACCAGAGGTCATGATTTTGTATGTCACCGGTCTGAATGATCCATGTAAACCTGTGACAATCTGGGCAGGAATTTTAAATGCGCATTCTCCTGCAGTTATAGACCGTTTCTATTACTTATTATATTACTTTTATTATTTTTATCAAATTATCTTTATCATTGCTTTCGCTAGGATTCTAACTTGGAACCTCTGGTTTACTGCTATATCAACATCAGGCGAAATTGAAACCCTTGTTTGGTGTATGTTCACTATGAAGTTTATATCTTAGGAAGAAGATTGTCGTTGAAATCTGCATCTTAGATCTTAAATACACCATATTTAGTTTATAGTAAATCATTATAAAAGTGTTGTTCTATCCACAATGCGAAAGTATTTGCCTGAGTGAAAGCAGAGACATATGTGACATATACGTCTTTGGTGAAAGTCAGAAAAAGCAAACATGTCGGTCACCGTACATAATCTCTATCCATAGTTGTCTAAGGCGACTCAAAAGTCCAAAAGTACCTATTACAGTACCGGACATATATAGTACTGCTACAGCAAGCATAACAGTTAGGCTTAAAAAGTGGTCAAAGCAATCTTTATTAAGAAAGAAAAATGAGCACGACGATTTTTCCATTTTGAGGGATTTCGGGTTTCGATTTAAAAAAAAACGCACACTCACAAATATAATTTAATTGTTTTATCCGGAAAAAATAGTTATGAATAATACGCCAATAATTTTGACAAGAATCAACGATAGGCTAACCGGAAGTTAAATTCTGCAGTAACCGGAAGTATTGATACAGTTGGGATAAAACTGCAAATTCGGAAATTGTATGCAGAATGGTAGATTGAGTGGAGCACCGAAGCAACGCTAAGCAAGAAAGGGGGGAAATGCTCAGCCATTGACAATATTTTGATGGTACGCTAAACTGCAAGAGAACCAACGACAGGAATGAGACTGTGAACAGGATCAGGCCTAGGCTTGCACATTTTTAAAAAAAAAATAGGCGGAACCTTGGAAACATTTTTCAAAAATATAAGTTAAAAAGTTAGTTTTCCTAGATTAAATTTTCCATGTGCAATATTGTTAGCTAATCGAATATATATTTATGTATTTAAACGAATCTACGGAAGCGTGTAAAAGTTTAGAGCGTCTTGTTTAGGTGTTATCTTAGCTTCGACATGGCGGCCATTTTGCCCTATGGATAATGGGTATTTTACAGTAAACATGCACATCTCAACAACTGCCTTATATCTACCAGACCTTTGGGTAAGCTGATCATTTGGGACAAAAAGAAACTATTTCTTTGGATTGAAAGCCATTTACTGACCTGTACACATGTTTTAAAAAGATTCTACAAACTACCACGTGTTTCAAACTTGGTAAAGAGTTCCGTGTTACCAGTCGAAAGTCCGTTGGAAAGCTAAACTTGGATGCATAATTCTTTAGATCGATGTATACTTTATCAATACTTCGTAATTAAAAGAATTGACTAAATCATTACCAATCTTTCAGACGCCTTTAACTTTAACTTTTTGCAGAAGAGGAAGTGTCCCATCATCCGGTCAATTCAGATTTAATCTTTGATGTCTCTATTTAACATGATAAATCACTAATGTTTTACTATGAGTTTACTTTCTTAATTGACATTGCAAACCTGTATAGAATCAATGCAATTGGTTTGCCCAATTTCCAAAAATGATGAAATTTAATTGTAGTTCAGACTGTTTTTAACAACAAAACATTATTATTTTGAATTACTTCTGTAATCAATGATATCAGGTGTAAGGTTAATACAAGTCATTCTATGCCCAGTTATACAATTCCAACAGCAGCTCCAATTACTGACTAGTAATCATGAAGATAATTTACCAACTAACTGCCATTAAAAATTAATCTAGTTTCGATACTTCATTACACTGTATTACTACCTAATGATGTAAAGTTTGGCTAGACTGATGAGATTTGATAACTATGCAGTTTGGCCACAGACTTCCTTCACCCATTTCTCAATTACAGTATCAGTTTTGTCTGGTTGTTATTAGTAATATCACTGATTGAGAAGTGTACAGGTACCCAGTTACCAGCATGGCTTTTTTATGCGTATGAAAGCTGTTAACAAAAATCAAGACATGAAAGCCGCCTTCTCGAGGATGATTTAGATTTGGCAGTTTAGAATTCACTATGCCGTATTGAAGTATATTGTGATGTTTTGTGACAACTTCATATCTATAAGTTTTACCTTTAACCCATATCAAGATGAAATAATCCATTCAAACTGACCTATCGATGTCAAGGTAACAAAATTGATATGAAGAAAATTTAAACATGACCAGAAAATTATCAACTACACAAAATTGTGTTTTTTAAGTTTGTCTTTCCGACGTTGAGATTGGAGACTTGCATAAAACCTCTACATAAATAAATTACCAGCAGACATGCTTGGTATTCAAAATATCACTGATAATTTTAACACGCTTGATTATTTCTTGCAGTTTATTCTATGACGTCGCTGAAATGCTTTGATGTGAAATTTCAACTGTCTACATTTTTAACTTGTGGTACCAAAGTCAAGCTTGGCCATGACTTCACCAAACTCTGAATCTAACCCACTGGACATGTCTGGTAAGTATATATCAAAGATATTCATTTTGGAAGGAAAGTTATGATACATTGCTAATGATTTCAATTGATCAAAAAGAGTAAATGGGGTATAGTAAAAATTGTTGAAGCATCGTAAAAACAGTATTGTGAACATGTACATACTAAGCTTTACTCTTGCTTTTAGTTGTGTGTACCATAATTAGCTAAATTTAATGGATTTGGGCATGCTTTGCATAGTTAAATATAGCTATTAAAGTGGAATAATACTAAAATAGTGTAATCAGGACTTCTTATCCTCTCTGTATTAGATTTTAGTCTATATGATGAGATGACCATTAAATGAAAGTCTGGTCACCTCATGTCCAAGATACAGGAATATAAATCTATGCTGTGTATTTAGTGAAATGAATTTTGCCACCCTTGTCACATGTCTTCATGATTTAACATTGCATGCATGTGTTTTGACTCCATTTTCAAGGGAAGTAAGGTTTTATTCCCTGATGTCTGAGGAAACCCAAGCTGAGTCTGTAAACTTGTATATAAGATATGGGTATGATGTAGAGACCTGAACCCAAACAATAGAAATTGGATGATAGAATAGCCAATCATTTTACATCTACTTGTTGTGTATGGTCAGTGTAGTCATACATATAAATGTATTAGTTTCCATCATGACTCTACATTGTGGTGTAGGTGTTGTCATTTCCAGATAACCACCTCCTCTGGACTTTGCTTTCCAAAAGCATAATCACCCATCTACTGACATATATATATAGTTTGTTATAAATAACATGTAAAACTTTCTATTTTAGCCCCAGGAGGGCAGATTTCTGCCTCATTGACTCTTCCACAGGGAATGGGGCTCCAGACTATGCCGATAATGTTGTCAGTCAGCCTTCCTGAAAAGGACAAAGGAGATAACAAAATGGGTATATAAATACATATTTTTTGACACTTGTAAAAGCTCTTTTTTAATATGTCCAACTTATAGACACTTGATGAAAGGAATTTTTCAGTTACCCTTGACAGGAAATCATCATTTTTTCCCGGTGTGAGATTTACTTTTCTCACCCCAGGTTTGAGACCGCTATACATGCTCTTTGCACATTCTGAAAACGGCTTAAGTGACGTTACCTGAAAGTGGAACTACTTTTATGTAGTCACAATTACTCTAGTTGGTCTGCTACTGAAGTCTTGTATTATCCTCAAAACTGAAAATCCTGTGTTATCAAGATTGAAATTTATTTATATCAAACATAAATATGTTAAAATAAGAGTATTTTTGATTTGGTGTCTTATTGTCAAGTATAACAGAATTAGTTTTTGTGTAAGATTAAATCACAATGCTTTAAGTGTATTGAGCTGTGAACCTTGTCACTATTCATTAGCCATCCACATGTTTTTGTTTGAAGTTCATCTTACACTGGGACATGGAAAACAGTGTAAAAAGAAAATAATCATTCACTCCCTTTAGGATGAGATAGAGGGATTCCAACCCTAGGGGGGAGATTATGAAGCTATCAAACACTCAACAAATCTTGTGTTTGACAACTTAATAATCTTCTCCCTCGGGCGGAGATTTCCTAAAGGGGGTGAACGATTCTATTATTCTCTTCTGATAGAAAGTCCTATCATTAAAGGTGTTTGGTTGATGAGTTGTATATGTGTAAACCTTAACTTGAATGCAGTTGTAAATTTAATTCTTTTTTATATTTCTATCTATCAGACCATAAATTTCAATGTGGAAAAAACCCCACTTCAACACTTTACTAAAAAATTTTGCTTATGCAGTACAGCAGTTGACAAATTCTCAAGTTGTACCAGAGGCACATACACATTGCTGTATTTTACTATTTCATTTCATGTATTGTTTGGAGAAATATGTGGTTGTTGTATCATATTTTTGTAACATCATTTAGGTGTTTTGCCCCCTGTACTGCAGTTAATCCAGCAGAGTGGATTACAAACGCTATCGCAGATCTTTCCACAAGCTGCACCACCTCTGACTAATTCCTCTCAAGCCACGTCTATCCAGGATTATACTACACCCAGTCCAGCCCATCCTAATGTGGAGACAGACTTGTCAGAAGCCTCACTAAAACCACCAGCCAAACCTGCATTTGATCTGTCATCCTTCCTCAAACTACAAAATCCAAATGATTTAGTGTCAATTCAGAATCGAATATCCCTTGCTAACAATTCGCTCAATAGCCTTGCTAATGTAGTACAAGAGTCAACCAATTCCCAAGTGTTACCACAGACACAGACTCTGACCAGTGCCACTGAACAGGGCAGTGATAACAGACAGAATGATGTTGTTCATCCGTCATCTTCACTTTCCTCCTCTGAGGCACCTGCAGTTCTACAAAACCTGTCTGTACATGATGCAATAGCAGTTCATCTTGGTGGTAATGAGTTTACTAGGCCTGACCTCATAAGCCCACATCTGGAAGCCCTAGTGTCTAATGCTACATTCATCCAGCAGTGTGGCAATCAGGACCTGGCCAGTGGTCAGTATGCAACCAATGCAGCCCCTCAACTCACCATTCATCAGTCAGCTGATGCCCTTCAGACGCATGGACAACATGCAGGAGAACCTCTGATGTCTGTAGGTGATCAGTGCCAAATGCCTTCTGATTTACAAAGCTCAACATTGCAGTCCAACATTCAGAACCAGATGTTGTGTTCAAGCACAGCTCTGGGCCATCAAACAGATGGGACAGAGTTGTCCTCTCAACATGTAGAGACATCACAGTTGACACAGAACCACATGGAGGACATTAGTCTCAACACTCAGCAGAAGTGTAATGATGTAGCCATTGGAAATGAGATGACAGTAGGTAAATATCTGATGAAGTTCCTGGTGATTCCCTGAAAATTACTTCAGAGTGATAGCATTTAAGATTCTTTTTTTTTTTTTTTAACTTTTAATATATTTGTGCTGTGATATCACATTTGATTTTGTTTAAAACCCTTTTTTCTAGAAAATGATGACAAATTCGGCAATTTGGTTTGTAAAAAATTAAAATTGTCAATTTTGTGTGCAGATACATACTTTAGTTTGGTTCCCAAGTATGTAGAAACATGTCTTTGGAATGTTTGGCTTATCCTCATTGCGTCTGCTTCATAGTGGTGTTAAGAGTGAACATGGGAATGATCACTTTTTATTGATGAAATTATTGAAATACTGCAGCTGTTGGTATTGTATCTATTGTAGTTGGCTATAACCCCCAGGATTACTTGCAAATGCAGACAAGCTTGGCAACAGCAGCTGCTTATATACCTATCCGAGAAGACCTGGCCAATCAGGACCCTTCAACAGTTGCAGCCAGCTTAGCCAGTCAGATTGAAGCCATTTCCAGTGCTATCAATAACCAGAGTGGGCTCATACAACTACCAACCGCAGGACCCAATCCTCAATGTCCCAGTCATTGTAAGTCAAGTTTATGATACAATATAATGCTATATGGTGCTTTCACTTTAAAATTTTTGAAATAAATGACACATTATGCAAAGTAATACTTAAAAAATCTCTGTTTCTTCAGTTTTGAACTTGAAAAATATTACAAAATGAATCTGCTCCCAAATATTATGTTTAAAGCTTTTTTTTCTATATTAGTTTTTACAAGCTGCCCCTTTTGCAGATTTCTGTAAATGTGTTGTTGAGGAAAGCATGACTCCTCTTACAAACAAGATAATCCAATACCCCATTTGCTCGGCAGTGTACAGAGTCTTTCAGCCAAAAGATTTTATATTTTTCATATTTAAGAGAAATTGCTATTTTATGCCATGTTATCAAAAGACATTTGTAAATATGTCTACTTCATACAGCTATTACTTGTTTTATGACTGTTGTTGCAGTGGTAGATCTGGTGCTGAAGTTAGCAGGGAAGCGGGATGCAAATGTGCAACGAGAAACTCCTCCTGTAGCTGTCAGCATCCCTGTAGAACCAGTGATAGGGGCTGGCCTGGCAATCCCAGAGGTCTTTGTTTCCTGTAAGTCTAATAGATGTGGAGACTTGAAATTACATTACCTGTCAAATGGAAATAAAGCTTTGGGGTGTTTAGGAGGATGTTTTCAGAGTAGGGTATAGGACCTGTGATTAAAATCAGTGTGTGAAGGACTTGATTGGGGAAAAAAGACAGTCTGAAACCTCAATTTTGTTATGAGAAATGCAGATCATCTTCAAAATGGTAAACTTTACATAAACCGACATGTTTTGTGTAGTAGTGAGTGTAGTTGAAAAGATTAAAAAAGTGCACTTGGGATACAAATTATGAAAAAATGGACCAAATAATACAAAAATGTAGGTGAAAGTTCCATGTTTTGATGTCTTTCAGCAATGCTTGATTGAAAACAATTTTATATGTAACAACATCAGTCAAAGATGTCTGCTTATTAACTTAGTGTATATTTGAGATGAACTTTTTTGAATGTGTTGTAGTCTGTGTGGGATGTAATTCAGCATCAGAGGCTAACCCTTGTCTGATCCATGACACAGAGTACACTGCCATCGCAGATAGTCCTATACCCACCAGAGCACGGGCATCGCTCCCAACATGTTTCTACCTGAAACCTTCAGAGACAATACTTCAGAATGTTATAGGTGAGTAGAGCCAAGGTATAGATTTCAAGCTGTCTCTACCTGGCAATATTTCAGAATGTTATAAAAAAAAGTAGCACCCAGGTATTTCTACCAACAAAACCTGGGTATTGCTCCCAACTGTTTCTGCCTGAAATCTTCAGATACAGTACTTCAGAATGCTGTAGGTGAGCACAGCCCAGATATAGGTTCCAAGCTGTTTCTACCTGAGACATTCTGAAGAAGTTCTTCCAGGACCTTGGTATCATTGCCTAATTCTCTCTACCTGAAATTTTTAGAGACAATACTTCAGAAGAATGTTTTAGTTAAGCTAGCAGAGCGAGGCATTGCTTCCAATCTGTCTATACCTGAACTATTCCGAGACAATATTCAGAATGTTGTCGGTCAGGAGATGCTGAGCATGGCTTCCAATCTTTCTCTACTTGAAATTTATAAAGATAATACTCAAGAATGTTATAAATGGAGCAGGTTTCACTACCAACTTGTCTGCTTGAAAACTTCAGACAATACTTACTAATGTTATAGACAAGTGGAGTACAGGTATCGCTACTAACCTGTCTTGACCTGAAATCTTCAGAGGCAATGATAGGGGTTTGAACTCAATCCATATTTAAATGCTCGTTGGTAATTGAGTAAATCACTGCCATTGTTATGAAATTTATTGAATTGTAATGGATTATTACTAGGTTTCCAAATTCACACCCTTAGCATCACTAAGTCGCAGTAGGACCAAAAAGCTTTATGATGCAGTTAAATTCATAATTTGGCTGTACTATCTTTAATTCAAAATTGGTATAGGAAGATGCTATTCACTTGTGCGTCTTTTGTACAATCATTGAGAAAAATAAATTTTGCAGACTTAGTGATGTGATGCAGGTGCTTTTATTCAGGTTAGAACAGATATATTATAGCACATCAAACAAAATCCTACCATTTCTAACCTGGCCTCCGTCTTTGTAGTATTTAATGTGTGCTTGTTCAGAGATGTTTAAAAATAATTTTATTTCAGGTGTTTGGTCAAAGGTGGCACTAAAAGCCAAAAGCAAATTTGGGCCTCTGGTGGGAAAAGTGAGCTCCTCTGCTCCTGGTGAATCCAAGCTTGGTTCTCTTCCAGAGTTTAAGGTGATCAGCAAACACAACCATTGTCATATCAAAATTATTGATGTAGTTATATTTTCTCAATGGTGTAATTTTGATGTTTCATTATATAGCGACATGTAAGCTATGTATGTCACCTGGCTTGACTTGTGGGTCCTAAATCCTTACACGATCATGTGGTCTTTATTGAAAAGGTAAACAAGATTGTTATCAGGTAGAATTCTAGCCTTCATCATTAGATGGTGCTCCCTGTAAATATAATATCTATTGCATTGATATGCTAATGATTATGATCGACTTTGCAATTGGAGTTTTTTTGGGGGGAAAAGGCAGATTTTAGTGTATTTTGCTGTTTGCTTTAAAATACCATATTCACAAAGGAGGCTAGACGAGACAATTATTTGTGTTTTTTGTCGAGGAATGTACATCTTTTTATCCTACAATATCTTCAGTGAATTAATAAATACTAGTAGAAAAATAAAATTTTATGTTGTCAGTGTTTCTGTGAAGGTTACAAATTTAGGGCACATCTGAATGTAGAAATGGATGGCAGAAAAACATTTCTATAAAATAGTGTATTACATTGTAGGTGATCTACAGTGACAAGGTAGACCAGTATGACCTTGAGGATGAACAGGAGTGTAACTGGCTCAAGTTTGTACAAATGGCACGTACAGAGGCCTCCCAGAACATGGTTGTCACACAGTTAGGTTCTGAGATATACTTCTTCACCACAAAACAGGTTTATCCTGGTGAAGAGTTACTTTTCTGGTACTCCAAGGACTACGCTCGTTTTCTAGGTACAATGTTTTTTTTTAGCTGCTGGAATCATGTCCCTTCAGTAACATTACATATATATTCGTCACTGCATTGATGACTCCTGATAATTCTGTAGTATACTGCATTGAGGAGACAACAATCTTTTGACAGTTAATTAACAATATTATTTTTTGATCTGGAAAAATATGTGATTATTTTGCATTGACATACAGTAGAATGTTAATTTCAGATATGTTTTATGTTAAAGGAGTGCCTGTAAGTCCAGAGACCAAGAAAATCAAAATGTGTTACGTATGTGGTAAAGTGTTTGTGGGCCGTCTAAACCTGCGAGCTCACCAGAAACTCCTACATGCGGATGTGGTGAAAAGGAAGTGGAACTGTAACATGTGTGAACAGGGATTCACATCCTCTGCTAAACTGAATGACCACATGAATATTCATATGGGGATCAAGCCTCATACATGTCAATACTGTGGGAAGCGGTTCACAGACCAAAGTAATCTCAGACAACATCTGCTCACCCACAGTAGTAAGTCACAAAATAATTCTCAGTAAACAACCTTAAACAAGAGAGGAAACTACTCCTGTGATTTTTCATTGGGAAAGAGAAACAAACACTGTATGTGGAAAATATTGTAAAACTTGTAAAGCAAATTGATAATTGGCTGTAAGTATAGTAAAGAAGTACTATATTTACAGCCACAATAATCAATTAGCTTTACAAGTTTTATTGTTTTACTAAGAACAATTCCTCTAAAGACATACTGCTGCACAATTAAAATTATTATGGTTTTATCATGAGGTAGAATCTTTTGTTTATTCAGGTTGAAATTATGAATAACGGCAAAAACAAACTTACACAGATCACTGGTATATCCACTGTGATATCAATAGCGATCTTAATACTAACATGTTAAAGGTTTTTATTTATTTTCTTTTAAAGTGCAAGGTTTTTCTGTAGATGTATGCATTTTGTTTTAATATTTTGATTTGAGATGTAATTTAGAGAGATTTGTTTTTTCTGGACTGTTTTGTAGATGTGAAGAGGTTTTCCTGTACCCAGTGTGGAAATCAGTTCCGACAGAAGATCCATCTGCAGACCCACATGTTAACACATACAGGAGAGAAAAATCTGCAGTGTAACTTCTGCGTAAAAAAATTTGCCCGTGAATCTGATCGCAAACAGCATCAGTATCAACACACAAAGGAGAAGATCTACCAGTGTCTTGAGTGCAACAAAATATTCTACAAACTTCAGAACTATAAACGGCATGCACTTATGCATACTGGGGAGAAGAATCATGCCTGCCCGAAATGTCAGAAGCGGTTCTATACCAAATACCACCTACAGCGACACTCTAAAATCTGTAAAGGAGCAACAACAAAAATCTATCTCAACAAACATGAGAAAAATCTCAACTTGGAAGAAATAGCTAATGAATTAACAGCAGGTCCCTCTGCTTCCAGGACATTAGGAACCAACACTGCTACTCCGTAGATATCCACTTTCTCAGCTTTTGTTTTTGGATGATCTTATGTAACAATGGAGCTGGAACGTTCTTGCTACCTCTTATGGAATGTTTTCAGATGATTCTGTATGGATGGAACCTGCTGCAATATCCAAACTACTTTGTTAACAACCCAGCTTTTCTGTATTCCCTATATGAAACCTGTGGTAGATAAAAAAAAAATGATTCAATATTCATGTTAAGAGAAAAGCTGTTTCATCGCTACTGAAGGTAATTATATATAAAAAGTTCTTTGATACAAATAAATGTGCTTTTCGTAATGGAAGCATGAATATATATTTGTTGTATAGTTTCCTCTTGAATCATTACATATGCAGCAGTCATCAGATAAGGTCTGGATGCATTTCATTCATAACTAATCAATACTCGATTATGATCTGAATTTTCATTTGATAAGTATAATTTATGATTTATCAGAGCAGTATTGAAGATTTGATAAATAGTTTTTTGTTTTTATTTTGAAATTGAATTACTGAATGAAAAAGTAAATACTTTCCCTGCTGTATATTCCTAAAAAACCTTTTGACTTGCAGGTCATGGTTGTTGATCCTGGCTGTCTTGGAAAAGTTTCCATGCTTCCTTCAAAGCAATATGTTAAATGATATCTGCTAAGGTAAGATTTAGTATCTATATGAAGAAGTCAGAATACAAAATGATATAAAGTGTTAACAACAGTGAATACTCATTTTGCAAATTCAGCTGTTATATTCACAACTAAGTAGTCCCCCAAGGTAACATTTTGATTTTTGTCTAATGTGTCAATTATTATGTGTACCAAAGATGGTAAGGTGTTGGTTGCCAACATTAATCTTTCTATTGTGACTATGTACTACAAGTTGTACAAGTTGTGTGTGTCATGTGATCTGCTTATATGTTATTAAATCACTTATTGTGAAGAACATCAGTAAATAATGGTACTGTGGGAAAACTTGCAATTTAAAAAAAAAAAATAGTATGATTGTTCTATTTTCTAGATTTTGAGAAGAGTCCTTGAAAAGTTGCAGCACAAGGACAAGAACAGGATGTTGTTTGGTGGAAAGTTATTCAATGGAGAATTCCAGCAGCACATTGTTAATCATGGAACAATAGAACAGCAAAATGAAAGTGTTGTTTAGAGCATCAAAAACATGACAAGACTAAGAGAAGATTCTATGATTTTACAGCGATCATAAAAGTGATTGAATGCATGAGCAAACACAAGCGACAGACAGGAAAGTAATGTTGTTATGGTTCTTTACCTGATGTTAATGTCCGGGTATATGTTGGTGTTGACTGTTATGTTCCTTATTTTGCTGAACCAAGTTTCATCATTTACAACGTGTGATGACATTTAAAAAAGGCATCACAAAAGAAAATTTATTATAGCTGTACCTGGTACTAAAGCTGATTTTGGTACTAAATTCTACCCTTCCTATGTGCAACAGAGTCCGTGCTTGTATTATACAGGGAATATATTTATTGATACTAAAACTTTAATCTTAAATTTTATGTATCAGTAAATGTTAAAAACTTACAAATTTTGGATCAGCAAAAAGAAGGCAAAAGTTACAAAAGTTTCTATACACAATATACATCTGTTGTTCAGCACACCATCCACATCCAAAAGGGTTGTCCACTGTTACGATGATATCTTGTAGTTTTTTGGAAATTTGCATTTGTTTAGATATTACTCTTTAAAAGGATGAGTAGTGTTGAACAATCAGAACATGATCTGAAAGTAGTTAAGTATTGGCTGAGAGCTTATCTTACCAGTGGTTTTGTCAAGCTTCAAGAAACCTGTATCTTTTATGAATAGATACAATTTAATTTCCACCATTTTATGAAAAATCTCACTTTTCTTGTGAAGTTTTTAAGAGTAGAATAACATTCATTTTCTTGTCTATAACATGTAATTAAATTGAAATTTGCTTAGAAACAACATATGAAACTGGTTTTGGTAAAAAGGAAATCACTTTTTGTTAAATTATGCAGTATTTCTCTGTGAAAAACGTACATTTTTGGTAGACTGGGCTCTGTAGCTTTATGAAAGAATTTGTAACGAATGTAGTTCAGAATGTCGATGTTGAAAAGTGTGTGATGTGATTGAAAGTGAAATGTGAGGAGTTTCTGTTAAAATTGTGTATGAATGAAGTATGTTAGTATGCTGTGTTAGTGATGATTTCTGAAGAGAACATCGGTGAACTTGTGATAACAAGATGACAGCCAAGTGTATCAGCCAAAAGAATTTAAGTCATTGTTAGATTTCTGAAACAGTGGAAGTTCAAATTAAGGTAGGTTCATTCTTTTCAGCTTAGTTTTGATCTTGCATCCAGCTTTAAATGTTACAAGGATTAACTTGAATCACACAGTCATTCTATCAGTGGTAGCTTTGGTAGTTCTGAGCTGCTCATAAAACACATCACCCATTGGAGAATCAAGCATGACATTTACTGCCATGATAAGGAAACCTTTAGATTATGGAATAACTGATAATGATAGTGATGCAGTTCCATGGTATTTTGTATCCTACAACAGAAATGACTCTTCATTTATCCCTGAATCAATTGTATTTAGATTGTTCACACATTTACACATGGGTATAGAGACGCACAACTGAAGTCCATGTTTAATATGCTATAATAACACGAATTAGAAATCAAAAAACAAATATGAACTGAATAATGTATATGAAAGCTTTGTGTTTCACACTGTGGTATAATCTAGTTGTATCTTGTCTTCAATGATTTTGGTTAGCATTGCTCTTTCTAAAGCTTCAGACATACTTCAGTAGTTTTGCTGGAAGGCACTGTTTGATTGATTATCTGTTTGTCGGACTTCCCAATCTCATCCTGTATGGTACAGACTTGGGCATTTAGCATGAATTTAGCATTGCACATGTGACGTCTGAAGCATTCATCATGATCGTAAATAATACTTGTATCCTTGTCGCATTTCCGTCACTTTTTTAATTTATCTGTCGTTACAAAACAACTTGACTGTCCAAATTTTTCCTCATCAAAAAAGGTTTGTGGTGGTGAAAAATGCTGCCTGAAAACATACTTGATTGGTTAGGCACGGCTGCAGGTACTTCCTGTAGAACAGGGTGTGTTGTTGTGGGAAAAGTTTTTGGTATGGTCTATTGTGATGGTAGTCAGAGCATATTGCCTAAATGTTTAATGATGCGGGTAGGTATAGACACTTTTTAAACAGAGGTTTTACCCCTCAAAACCTTCATTTTGAATGATTATCTGCTTTTTTTAGTCTATCTTCTTATCACCAGTCAATGGATGTATATTGAGGGGTATAATTACTTTTAAAAGGGTTTTTTCCAAATCTGGTAGAGTATAACACTGTTATATTGACAAGAGTAAGGAATGTCAGGTTCGTTTCGTCTGTTTTAGTGAGTTCATTATACAGGATAACAGTTTTACAAAATTACGCTTCCCTGGTGGTATTTGAGAAGCGGAGCACTGGTATTGTCCAAGCAACAGTCTCGTGGCTTAGTACTTCAAATGGACATCAGCTTGATTCCGGATAGTACCTTTCGTTGGACACCTTTCTACCAGCACTCTGGACCTGTTGTGGGCACCTCCCTACCAGCACTCCTTTAGCTTGGTCAGGGCGCCTTATTTATAGCATTCGGGAATTGCGTTGTGGAATTCCCATTACAATGAAAGCTAGTTTGACAGATGGCCAAAGTGGTCTTAGTTGACTTGACCGATGGTCAAAGTGGTCTTAATTGACTTATCTTTTGACGCAACTAGCTGGTCGCAAAGGATGACCTACAGCTTGCAGCGTATATACAATTTATAAATGTGATTTATAAATGTACACATTAAATGGACATAGTGTATCCCACTTACATTGATTGAAATCATTATCAATTATGGAATACAAATACACAATCAATTATAAAAATTACTGGTTATGAAATTTTTACCCTTATTTTGTTACAAGAGTCCTCCCTGTTGGATTGCGATGATGTTCTTGAGTTTCTCAACCTGTTGTACTAATTGATTTACGTCTGCCATATTGATGGATTGATGTTAGTCAATATGACTGGATTGGAACTGGTGTCAGGTTGTCTGTTGATTTGGAGACAATATTCAATTGATACAGCTTTGACATCACTTTTTGTGTGTTATCTCCAACAGCTGTTTTAATACCAAATGAGGCATTAACTTTTGTCTTAACTGGTCATCTGTCAAGTATTCTGGGTTCTCTTCATCCAGTATTTCCCATGATTTAGGTGGGAGATCTTCTGATGACAAAGATGGAGACAACATTCTCTTGTTCAGTCTTATGGATGAACTTCCTGTCTTTTAACTGTTTAACAGCTCATTGTCTCTTAATTTCCGACAACCAACTTAAGGTACTGGTGAAATGATAGTTTTAGTCAAGATGAAAATTACTATGAAGGTGTAATCACGTGATGGATTACATTTGTATAGGTCACTGCCATTTTTGAAAGTGATGCAGCAAATGTATAAAATCTAAAACTTTTACTGATCATGTGATTATAATGTCAGTATGAAAAATGAGACTAAAAGATTGACTTAGCTCTGGTTACAAGTGAGCTACCTGGTTAGTTAACCATCTATGAAAGTTAGCATGACCAGGCTTTAAGAAAATATTAGTAGTGTGCAAATCATTGGTTTATCCACACCAACTAAATCTGGTCTGGTATGTGACTTAATTTTTTTATCGAAAGTTTGAAGAATAGATGTACAACATCATCGCAGTTTGATGAACTAGGATTTAACAGTTATAAATTCAAAATATTTGAAATCCTGGTGTTTTTTGCAATTTATAAGAAATCATATCTTGTTGGCAAATATTATAAAATCCCTGTCTTGTTTGCAAATCATCTGAAATCCCCATGTTCTTTAAAATAATATCAAATTTGTTGGCAAATGATATCAAATCCCCATCTTGTTGGCGAATCATATGAAATCCCATCTTGTTGGCATCTTTTTTAGCAAATCATATG